ACTGTATGAAAAAGAACCAAACTTACCACTTAATATTTGTATATAAGGAGGTCTGCCATGCATCAACTACCTCAGATGGAATAAACGAAATTACAATTTAAGTAAAGTACAGTTTACATGAAATATTTAAGCATTTAAAGGATTTCAATTAGATGTTGTACCAGGTGTGGGCGTTGAGGTGTTGGCAGTGGGGGGCTGTAGAGGTGGCCCCTGTGAGAAGAGGCTGAGGCTGACCCATCCCAGACAGAGTTGGTTCCAGTCAGATACAACCGACCCACCACAAGGAAGGGCTGAGCCCCAGAGCCAAACTGGTGGTCCCTCTGGGAAAACACACCTAAAAAGGGCAAAAAGCTGCCCAGCAGCAAGGACTGAGGAAGAAACAGCCCTGTCAACACCAAGGTCAGGGAAAACGAAGCAGGAGGAAAAGCTGCACCAGGTGCTGGAGCAGAGATCACCCTGCAGACCATGGAGAGAACCATGGTGGAGCAGATGCATATTTCCTAACAGGAAATGTAGCTGGTGCAGAGCCCACACTGAACAAAATGTTTTCTGAAGGACTGTAGACTATGAGGAGACTCCACACTGACACAGGCGAACAGCGTGAGGAACAAGAAGTGGCAGAGGGGAGCAGTTATGGGCTGACCCCAAACGCACTCCCCACTCACCTGCACCGCTTAAAGTAGAAGAGGTAGAATAATGATGGAGTGAAGTTAAGCCTTGGGAAAAAGGACTGGAGGGACTGTTGGTTTAATTTGTGGGGTTTTCTGTTTCTCACTATCCAAATGCATTTTAACTGGCAATAAATTTTAATTTCTCAAGCCAAGTTGTCTGCCTAAGGCAGTCATAGGCAAGTGATCTCCCTGTCTTAATCTCAATCCACCAAGTCTTTCATCCTATTTCCTCTCCTTGTCCATTGACAATGAGGAGTGAAAGACTAGCTGGGTGGGCACCTCGCAGGCAGTCACCAAGTTCAACCCACCATAAATACTTGCATGCATATTTTGATGTCCGTTTTAGAAGCCTCTAACAAAATCTTTGGCATTGGTATAACAGCAAATAGTCAATAATTGCAAAGAAGGCAAAAGCCAAGCAGTTTTGGAAAGTTATGCGAACAGGATAGATAACAGCTGCCATGAGATGATAATCTGTAACATTTCACTCAAAACTTTTTACTTATTTCATTAAAATCACCATTTGGAGGTCCAGTCAGATTTATTTCATTAAGTAAGTTTTGACTAATGCCCACAAGCTTTCACTGACAGACACTTCATTCACATAAATAATTCATATTTTCTACTATAACTAGCACTATGTAACACAAGAGCATTCTTCTAAAGACAGAAGTGAGGTGAGAGATGAGTGGAAGTCTTAAGCAAGGAAGATCTACCCTTAGTAGAGGAAGAACACACTGGGAAACACTTGAACAAACTAGATATACACAAGTCCATGAAGTCTTCAAGGCCACACTCCGTTATCTTCAAACAATTGTGGCAATTGATAAAGCCTTCTGAGGACTGAAAGAAACTAGGTATCACTCCTGTCTTCGAGAGTGGCAAGAAAGAGCATGGAGAGAACCAAAAACCAGTCAGTTTCACCTTAATCATTGGGAAGGTGATGGAGTGACTAATTTGGAAATCACTTCCAAACTCATGAAGGTCCTTGATGAATAGTCAGTATGGACTTAGGAAGAGGAAATCATGACTGACTGATCTGATAACCTTCTTCAACAAGGTGACCAGCTCAGAGAATTAGAGCGGTGGATACTGTCAACCTTGACTTTGGCAAGGCTTTCAAGTCTCCCTCCCACTAGAGACAAAATGATGAAACATAGAACAGATAGGTGAATAGTGACACGGATTGAAAAGTGGATGAATTCCAAGGCTCAAATGGTTGTGATCAGCAGCACAAAATCCACTGGGAGGTCAGTCACCAGAGGTGCTGCCCAGAGGTCAATACTGTGGCCAACACTGTTTAGCATCTTCATTAATGACATGGACAATAGGACAGAGTGCACCCTCAGCAAGTTTACATATAATACAGCACTGTAAGGAGCAATATACCAGAAGACTCCAAACAGGAACCTCATGAAAGTTAATACAGGGCAGTAACACCAATCCCTGCACATGGGGAGGAATAATCCCTGGCACCAGTATACACTGAGGGGCAGACAGTTGGACAGAAGCTATTCAGAAAAGGACCTGAGGTCCTCGTGGACCATGAGTTGATCATAAGCTAGCAATAAGCCCCTATGACAAAGAAGGCCAACAAAATCCTGGGTAGCATTAGAAGAGTTGGAAAAGCGCAACAAAGTTGACTAAGGGATTGGAGCGTCTGTCATAGTAGAAGACGCTGAGAGATATGGGACTGCTAAGCCTCAAAGACAGAAGGTTCAAGGGAGAGATATTGTCAATGTGCATAAATACCTAATGGAGGGTGGGAGGATTACGGTAGATAAAGTTAGACTCTCCACAGGGCCCAGTAATAGGACAAGACATAATGGGCACAGACTAAAATTCAGGAAATTTTGTTTCTACTTATGAAAAAGCTTCTGTTCTGAGAGTGGTGAAATACTGGCACTTAGACCACAAAACATCTTCCTTACTGATGTTGTTATATTGGAGGTGAGACATGGAGCAACAAACACAAAGAGGATGTTGTCCCTTGCACTAAACTATATGCCATCTGGTATCAGACATCACATTTCACAAGGGAAAGGGTTTCCCTTCCTATTGCAGAAGCACTGATGGAGGTTTTAGAATTTCAGTACTAAACATTGTACTGGTGTGCTAATTCTATATAGAATTGCTCAATCTCTCTTTCTGCCTCATAGTACTGGGAATATTCATGTTCTTCCTAAAGAAGCTTTTTTTTTCCTTGCGAGTTGACTAGTCAGTCCATGGGAATAGAATAATGAATGCCTTACACCCAGTGTCCTACTGTAAGATTTCACTGACACTAGTGGAACTGTCCCCTCTGTTTACAGACACATGAAACTGGAAGCCAGTTCATGAAATCTATACTAAGAATCAGCCTCTCTGTTAGCCGCTCCTTCAGGCAATATACTGGATTTCAGATAATGATTTTACTTAAAAATACCTCCCATACAAAACCATCTTTCCTAGAATTTCACCAGTTCCTTATGGTGGGCTTCACTGGGAATCCTGAAAGACACAATGGCTTAATAATTCATGCTGCTTAATAATTCATGAGGAAGGTGTTTATGATACTCTTCACTGTGTTCCAATCCACGTAGCCAGCCAATACACAGGAACTGAGACGAACTACTGACTGTGATTTCAGGTCTAAGCTGGCTCAGGACTGACACTCATAAGTTAAGCAGGTTATACAACAATACACAATTTTGGCCACCAAAGGATGAAAATGTCTGAACAAAATTATGGCACTTTTAGAGAAAACTAAAATCCAGGTATTTTTGGATTGTTATGCACATAAATGAGTCAAAAAACAAAAGTGAGTAACTTTGGAAACATATAACTTAAATCTTCAAGAAAACAAAGACAACTACAAAATGAAAGAAAAAAAATTCAAGCGTCCTGGATAAAGACTGCAGACTTCATGATAATAAATATTTGTAAGAATGGCTAGGAAAATAGTTACATCCTTCCATCATTATCAAACACTGAGTTTTATTTAATAATCAGACTTAGCTCCACAGAACTAAATAAGGCAGTAATCATCACAGATGATCTGTGCTCCAGAAGGTCAAGTAAACATTGTCAAGAACATAATTCAAATAGTCACAGTGTTATTGAAGGGGACTTCAGTACATTCATATTTTCTGATATAGTTACTGAACTTTTAAGAAAAGAAGACAGACATATTTACATGTCGCTGTTTCTTCAAGTCTTACAGGAATGCAGATATCCTGGGGTTTATGTCCAAAAAGAACATCTATTTATTTTATATAGTATAGCTTTCACTTAAACAGTGAGATTTTTGGATCTTTAAACAGAATAAAAAAAATACATCAAACCTTGGACTGGCAGCATTTAATTCAACTAAACCATCTACCTACAAGTAAAGAATATTTTGTTGAAGACTCTGCCAAGCACTAGAAGAAGTTGTTGGTTCTGAATTTAGTAACTTTCAGAAATTTCCTGAATAGACAAGCATCCTAATATCCTTGCTTTTCAAAGAGCAATCAATGGTTTCATACTCACTACATTTCACTTTAAAATTACTGTCTTCTGATTAGACACATTTAATCAGGGCAGCAGATCATTCTTGCATCACTAAAGCGATGCAACTAGATCAACACTGACATAACTGACTCTTTCCACACAGAATATATAAGGCTAATGCCTTATACATTTAGCTTAATCCTCTTTGGCCAGTATTTACAGAAAATTTAGACCTGGATGAGACTTGTTGCAAATTAAGCTGCTAACAAAGTATGTGTATCCAGCAAATCTTTTAAGAGCAGATTTGACTTATCAGAAATAGCTTTAGGTATACTTTTAACCTGCCTTAAAACCCAGAATGATTTCCATGTCTGCCTGCAGTCCCTTCTGAGATGTTTTGTATCATAATAGATGACATATTCCAAAGGTTTAAAATAAGAGGTTTGGCTTTCGTTTGTTGGTTTTCTTTTAATGCTTGCTTAGTACTGAATTAGTACTTTATCCACTTTAAATGTCCATGACTTCCACAAGAAGGGCTGCTACATTCGGCTGTAAACCATTATTCAGTAAGTAAAGGCATGAAGTAATTTGAAAAAGGAATTACAAAGCACTTCTACTCTCAGAAAGATTTAACCTATTTATTTCTTTTCCAGGCTGAGTTAAACTATTTCCATCCAACTAAAGATTAGTAAAATTAGCCTTAAGTAAGATCAAAATATTGTTGAAATTAGTTAAAACAACAATACACATAAAGATAGGGCAAATCAGAAGCTCTTCTCAAAAGTCTTCACAATTTTGGAATTGCTATGTAGTACAAAACAGAGAGACAACTAATGTAAAATAAATGTTTCATCTTACTTGTCCAGGGCTGTGCTGGTAGGCATGCTCCTGCCAAATCCTCGGACACCCATCTGACAAAAGTATGGAATGCAAGACAGATTGGCAGCAATTATGGCCAATGAATCCGATGCGTTAACAAAGAAACCATTTTGGCCAAGGATCATGTAGCGGTCCTGAAGAAGAAAATAAATTCAAAGAGTATCTTAAATTCCATGTTTTGGGGAGCGGTATCTTCTACTAGACTGACTGTACGCAGAGGGGTAAAAAAGAACAGGCTTTGGGTTACTCGCATTCCACTTCAGGCAGAGTAATTTATTGGCATCGCCCTGTCAGGTTTAGAATCTCACAGTCACACCATCACTCCCTCCAGCCTTGCAAATCAAAGCTCCAGTTCAGTCCTCAGCCTCCTACATGACACTTCAGTAGGTCTATTCCTGCCAGGGAATGCTTGCGTAGGAGAATCTTTTTGCCAATAAAAAGCACTACACAGGGAGTAGGAGGGTGTTTTGTGTCTACTGACAAAAGAAAACAGCTTCTGTTCTTCAGAACCTTTTCATCTTTCTCCCACTCTGTCAGGGCAGAAAGTTATTTCGTAATACTTTGCTGTTTATAATGCTGATAATATTACATTAGAAAACACATGTAACAGAGATTATGATTTGGTGCTTTATTTAGCTAATACGATGTTAACCAAAAAGGACTTAACTTAGTTACTACTTAGTGTGAAAAGTCTGTATTATTTATTATGGTCTCTTCCTAACTGGGGAATAAAAGTGTTATACCAGTACCAGATAAAACCAGGTTAATATTTAAAGAATTCTTTGTCAGCATTCAAATCCTGCTCAGTTTGTAGTCATCTGCAGGACAAATTACAGCACATGCATCTGATTTAAGGGTTACACATGCTATCATCTGTACCTGGAAACAATATCACTTTCAGCTTTGAGAGCTTACTGAAAAGCAAATAAATTATACTTACATGTCCTGTATCTGACCCCAGACAAAATAACAATTATTGTGAAGCCTTCAGACAGAATACTTACTCCGTCAGCATCAAAAGCAGCCCCAAATCCATACTCGCCACCTCTCATAGCCTCCAGCAAGGCAGTTGCGTATGTTAAATTGGGATCAGGAGTCTGTCCACCAAAATCTTCCAGAGGAATACAGTTTATGGCAGAATTTGCAGGAGCTCCCAGTTCATCACACAGGATTCTTCTCACATAAGGTCCCATAACTGGAAAAACAGAAATCTGTCATGCAATCACAAAAGCGTATGCTTGACGTACACATTTTTCACAGCACCACAGAGACTTGATATAAAACAGACTTCAAGCAATTCTATACATCTGTCCTAGCAACAGAAACCAAACTATTATTTCACAGAGGAGCATGTGATTGTCCCTCCAGGCAATAATCATTTGGCAATTCAGCATTAAAAAGATAGTTCCTCACTAGTGGAAGTGAAAAAGTAATCTCTGTATGGCAAAAGATGGAAGTTCTATTTAGCCATTATTAGGTAAAGAAGTTATCATACATACAGAGGGCATTTTTCTGACTAGAGTAAAAGTAAGATGCTATTCTATGTGTCCTGTAAAGCAAACAACAGTTTAACCCAGTTCAGCAAGGAAACTAAATAGCAGGAGAATACATATGGGAAATAAATCTACCTCAGTATTCCAATTCATGTTAAAATTGCAATAGGTTTGTACATCAAAGAATTTTACCACCACACTTTAATTACTATCTTATAGATAATAAATAAAACTTCCTCAAAACTAACTGCAAAATAACGTTTTTACTTCGTTAGAGATACAGCCCTAGCTCATGCTATTACATGTCATCACTATTCTATGCATTCAGCAGCTGAATGGACTCTTAAGAAGTGAGCCCTCTGCAGCCCTGAGGCAGGTATGAAGGTCACTCAGAGGTTAAAAAAAAAACCAACACACCATGACTGATTGCTCACTCTTTTTCTCCTACTTTACTCCTAAACCTTGCTAACCAGAGCAACAGTAGCCCAAGGTAAAACTACTAGTTAGAAACTTGTGTTCAAGAAAATCCAGATGTTAATTCTGTGAAATAAACAGTAAATGATTATTCGGGTTCTTATCAAGAGTAGAATCCTGATAAATTGCTCTCTTCTATGCCAGTGTTAAACTGTCAATATCTACAGGTATAAAAGCATATTCAACAGGTGAAGAGCTAAAACAAACTTTGGAAGACAGCTTATCCATATACACATACGGTCCTCTCTAATGTTCACTATATTGAGGCTGGTGACTCATTTTTGGCTAATGCATCTCATCCAGAAAGTCTTCTGATCTGATTCCACCAAGAGAAGGGCAGTCCACAACTACCTTTAGTATATTGCTCCAGTGGTTCACTGTTACCCATAAATATGTGAGCTACATTTCAATTTGAATTTGTCTGGCCTCAGCCTCTCACTATTGATTCTTCTTGGTTTTTGGGGGGAACAGAAGACTGAAAAGTATATTTTCTGCAGAAACAAAAAAAATCCCCAAAACTTTCTGTGCTGTTTAAACAAATATTCTTGTATACACTTACCGTACATGTTCTACATATTATAGTGTGGCTACTTCTCCACCACCATAAAAAGTCATAAAGCCAGTTCTCTCTCTCTGCAAATAAGGTAAACTCAGTCCTTTATTTTTCTGTGATGCATCAGTTTTTCTAACCCTGAGCCAGACTATGATCTTAGAGGCCTTTTCCAACCTAAACAATTCTACGATTCTATGATCTTTCTGACCGCATGTGAGATTTTTCAACACTCACTTACAGTTCTGCACATCAGAGCTCCACAAATTATTGGGAGGACCATTGTCTCCAGTACTTGTACATGACAGGAGGCAGTGCCTTCCTCATTGTTCCCCGTGCATTGCTGAAGGACATCAGCTGCCCTTTTGCCACACCCTGGCAAAACTCGGTGTTTACACTGACTGTACGCCCACTATGATCTTTTGAACAGTGACTATCACACAGTACTAGAAAAACGCTTTACAAAAGCTTAATAGGTCTATCCAGCTCCCTTTATCGGTCTGTTTTTATAATCCCATTAGAGAATGAATTCTAGTTTGTTTGATGAAACTTGTTTTCCATAAGATAATGTTGAACACCTTTACTCTATATGGAATAGGATAGGAATATTACATATTCCTTCAAGTCATTATCTGTAGAAATCTCTATTTTTTCATGATGTAGCCTAAGATAGATCTCATACTGACCTATGTTTCCCCAAGTGACATGGCTTAGATTTTTTACGCTGGCACAAAATCAGTACCCTTGCTATCTTCTGTGGTGCTTTCCTCCACCTTGCCCCTGATATACTGAAAATTTTTAAGAGCATTGGTGAGACAGAGGTCTCAGACAACTCTTTAAGGACTCTTGGGTGCAATTTATTTAGACTTAGCTAATTTAAGACTTACCCTTTGTAGAGGCTGTCTTGTAACTTCCTTAGTTACTGCACACTGCAACTTACTTCATCACTCTCTCGTGGCAAGATTAACTCATCCTGCTTGCTTCCAAATGCAGAAAGAGAACACCTTTTGGACACATGTGTCTTCAAAGAAAGATATCTTTGCTAATTAGGGACTTAACTCATTGTTAAGATTGCCTTTGTTACTAATATAATGTTCAAACCCTTTCTTATTACCCTTAACCTTGCTAAAAACTCTGACTTTTATATACTGTACCTTTATTGGGAAACCATTGTGACGTAACATTTTTAGTGGGAAGCTATTGCAGTGTACCTACAATTCTGGCCTGATAGCACCTTAGGTTCATACCTCCATTCATGGCATCAATCCTTATTTTAATCTGATTGGGTCCAGTCAGCAAATTTCTGATGGCATTGAAGTCAAAGATACTTCGAAGGAGATTGAGGTAGATATCCACAGAATCCACAATTTCCACTAAGAAAATTAGAGAAAAAAAATCAGAAAGAAAAATCACTACAGTTCATACATGTGAAAATATCTTTCAACACACTTCCACCAGTTATGTACCTCAAATAATCAGAGCATGCAACCTCTAGAAAGTATAGACTTGCTCTGAAGCCCTCAGCAGCAAAGTCAAAGACCTCCACTGATTTCAGTGTGGTTACCATCAAGCTTTAAGCAAAGATCAAAAGCCTGCTAGAGGACGGCAGACATAAATTAACAGTTTCTATGTCATTGAAAATATTCATGAGAGTACATTATATCAAAGTAAACTATACATCACTGACTAAATCACTGCACAACTTTTCAAGCTTCTTCTTGGATTTGGCACCTGGAGTATCAGTTCGCTGCCAATCTACCACTACACTTTTACTTTTTATATCTCCACTGATTTAGGAAAGTTAGGCTTGCCTACAACATCTGTTTTTTACTAAGGTCTTGCTGATTTGAACTCTAAATCCACAAAAGTTGAGAGCTACACTTTTCCCAGTTCTTTTTTGGAGGTAAAACCCTAGACTAAACTGGATTAAGGAATGTAAGTCTGTCATAATGAAAGTAGTTACTAAACGACTGCCAGAAGCCATGATTCTCAGTCGTCTTGGAACCTTTTATTTTTCCTGATTAAATTAAAAAGCATATGTTATTCAAATGTCTTTTTATCTGGTTAAATGAGTATCTCAAAATATTTTAGCTGTAAGTTAAATTAGTACTTAGAATATGATCCAGTTTTCTTCAGAAACACTGACCTCACCTTAATACTCTTCTTTAGGATAACATGAAAATGACACAGGCATTTTCTAGGCCTGAGAAAAACACTTAGGATAGGTTATGACAATACACTTGAATCAAGAAACAAACAGAAACCAAAAAAGTGGTTCCTGAGGTTGAAAAACAGCCTGTAAAATTTAGCTGAAAATGAGTTAATTCTATGGTATACATTGAAAATCTCAAGGATTCACTAAAACTACATTACTGCATATCTTTTACACCCTGCTCTCAACGTTTATCTAAGGTCTAAGCTTTACACATATGAACAAACGTCTCAACTTCATTGGAGCTGCTCACACATTTAAGATAAAGTGCATGTAAGACTAAAGTCTAAAACTTATTGTCAGCCCTGCCAAACTCAACTGGTTTGCTCTCAGTTGCTTCAACACCTCTGTAGCCTTGATTCACAGGAGTAAGGTCACGGAACTGAACAGGCAGAAGTTTTAAAATACATCAGACACTATCTAAAAATACTTTATAAATTACTCTCATTCCTCCTGCACTTTCATTCTGCATTCAGATCTGTGTAAGTTATACTTATTATTGCACTTGTAAGTCGATGACTTTGCTTCAGTAGGGATCCCTGGCAGCTCTACTGTCCAGGGTGATATATCCTAGGAGATGATAGGAAACGATTTTTCTTTAGAAAAATGTTCAGACAAATTGCAATTATTTTTAATCTACTGATATATTCGGAGTGGGGAGGGAGGGAATGGGAGGAGGAGAGATGTCTCATTTCCATTTACAAAAATACAATTTAGAGAGATTAAACAGTTGAAAAACAGAATTTAAAACTGTGGCAAGCCCAAGCACATGTATTTGGTGAAGGTATTTGGCTAAATGATGAGGCCTGATGCACTTAAAATCCTAACTCCTTATGTGCAAAACAAACGCAATACTATCTAATATTTTGAGAACTCGTAGTAAGGCATTTTTGAGAATTAAATTTCACGTAAAATAATTAACTATTGGCATTCTGCAGCAATTCTAGTATTTGGAAACAATTAATGTAGCACGCATAGAAGCACACACTGATACCTCGGAAAGGTTTGAATTTGTTCTCCAGATCAAACTCTTGTCTTCCTAGACGTGACAAATCAACTCTGAGATCGGGACAAATGGCATATTCCTCCAAGGTTTTGCTGATTTGATAGATTTTATCTGAAACTATATCTGGAGCAGGTCCTGCAAGAAAAAACAATGTGCTGGGTCACTTTTTTAAAATGAAGATTCACTATTCAAAAAGTGAATGCTATAGCAGATATTTTTCTGAATATATTGGAGTTATTACGGATAAACCCAAACAAAGAACTGTATTAGATAAGATCTGTTCTTTCAGTTTAACAGAGATCTAAACCATTTTTTGAAAAATCATGGCATGGAAATATAGTGTGTTACTTGCAACATTTTGATTCATATAGAATATTTAAGTCAATCATTATCCAAGGCAGGGGGATGAGGGAGTCAAAAAGCCCACATCTGTCTTTCTTTGGGTTTATTGCTCAAAGACAGACTTTTTTTTTTACTCAACATGGAATCTCAACACCTATGTTAAAGGAAAGTCTGTTCTTCAGCAGCAGCTTCTAGTGTTTCACAGGGCTTTCTGCAAATCCACACTTGTGAAAGCAAGAAAGCTTTGTGTTTCACATTATTTCATTAGACACAATTATATTTTTTAAAAGTCTTCTCAGTTTGACAGTGCTGTTCTCTTGCAGTTTTCTTCCATTACCTTAATGAATATTCAAAATGCCCCCACTGCTTAACAAGCAATTATGACCTGGAACAGTTACATCATTCAGAAGCAGATTTTCTTTTCTTTTTATTGCCAAATCCTGAAGATTGACTCTATTGCTAAAGATTTACTGTCAATCAAATAAAAGTTGCAGGCTTGACGCAAAAATTAGATGTGCTATGTCATATGCAGTGCAAGAGATGAGTCGAAGTTACAACAAATGTCCTTTCTGGCTTACTTGACTCTTCATTGCTTATATTAAAGCCATGCTTCCAATCTGAAAATTTGCTTCCTTAATTCACTTTTATATGCTCTCTCTTCTAATCCAAAGCCTCTGTCTTTTCAGTGCTAACTTTGCTCCTCTAGCAATTCTGCTGTGTTCATTATTTGCCACATAAATTAGTGTGTTCCATCTCAGATGTAGCATTACGGGATGGTCCAAGGCAATACAGCAACAGTCACTTAACTTTTCATTTGGCTTAGAAAAAAACTTCTTACTCATCTAATCCAAACTGACCTAAGGAGTAAGGATAGGTTTAATTAGCTCCAGATCATCCCTGATAGATGGATGTATTGTCTACTGACATGTCCTACTAAGGCTCTCCCGTGGATCTGCGAAACAGACTAAGTGAGAATTCAGAGCAACAACAGCCTTCCCCAGGAGCTCAACCTCATGCCTAACCATTCTTATAATTCAAAAGCCTGGCCTAATACTTAAGCCACATTTTCTCAGCCACAACTATTTTTCATTATGTCCCTGCTGATTTTTATAAATAATTGGAGCTTGTGACCTGTGCCTGAGGAGAATTTCTATTTAAAGCTTAATAGCCTCTTTAAATTTTCTTTAAAAAGGTAAAGTAAACTTTAAAAAAATGGCCACTGACTGCTGTTCATTTACCAAACAGATTTTAGGTGTACTTTGTGTTTCAAAGTTTATAGAGTGCCAATGTATCTAATGGCTTGACTCTGATATGCTTGTGCTGTGTCTCTGGCTTTCTCACCGTCTGACCTTACACGGTCCCTTTAATCTCCCTGGGATTCAAGCCTGTTCTGTTCATAAAATCACACTGGTTTAAACATGCACGGTTTTTTCAGCGTGCAATAAGGGCCGAGAGAGAAGAATCATTTCTCCCACGTTCAAAATGGGGAAGGAAACATTTTAAAAGCACTTCCAGGTTTTTTTAGATAGCAAGCACTCTACATGTGTGAGGTATACAAGGTGTCAGTAATTGTCACGATGATGTTTTATGGGTGTACACAGATCTATAATATAAAACATACATTACTTTCATGTGTTAGCTTGCCAATTTGGAAAAACAAGATACCAGTTATATACACAAATTCCATTATTCAACAATGCAACAGCTGAATGCGCAATAGTTAAAACAGTACAACTCTACCCCTGGATAAGAGCAGTTATTTCCTGGGTAAATATGAGACATGTTTTCTTCCATACAAGACAATGAGTTATACTGCTTTTAGCACTTCTGAAATTACATGCTTTAAAGTAAATGCCAATAAAAGTAGCATACATATATGAGCACAACAAAGCTTCCTCATAGGAATCTTTATAAAAGGATCAGAACTATTACAATGATCTAGCAGACTACATAAAATGCTGTAACAAGATGGAAAACCTCTTGTTTATAGAAATCTTACAGCTACCACAAGGATTTCAGTGAACATTTAATGCTTATTCTACAGACCCATGCAAACAACTACACTCCTGTTAATGAAGAAAAAAGATACGCGTACGTTCTTCGTACTTTTAACAGAATAAACGAAAACCACACAGTTAAAGTCAGCTCGTTTCATGATACTGAGATGCAATGTTTGTAATGTGTTACTAAAAAAAACCTACCTCCATTTGCAACTTCAAACTTGACTCCAAACTCTCCTCCAGGTCCCCCAGGACTGTGGCTAGCTGTTAAAATAATTCCACCGGCTGCTTTGATCTTTCGGATGATACATGAAACAGCAGGTGTGGATAAGATACCATTCTGTCCAATAACTAATCTGCCAATCTAGGAGGAAAAGTAAGTCAAAGTACTATAAATGATACTAAACTTTTGAAAATTAATAAACACACACACACATATAGGTATACAGGTACAGGATAGAAATTGTAAGGTCCTGGTATGGAACCTGTTCTTTTGCAGAGAAATATACATACATCAGTTGCACTGATAAAAAATATTGTATCATGCCACATTGAACTCCAGCAGCCTGTGTACCAACCATAAAACAAAAGCACAGACATGACAGCAATGTGCAAAGTTCCCAAGCAGAGCATTGGGCTACAATCCTGCTATCAAACCGTTCCAGGTATTGTCACAAACCAGCAAATACCCTCAAATATCAATATAGTTTAGGGCTGACTATGTGGATGTGGTTTGCAGGGTTGGAGATTTAACAACCACAAAAGAGAACAGCAAGCAAACTGCCTTTCACAGAGCAGCCTTTCAGCACAATCACAAATATCACCACATACTGTAGTCTCTGCGACTCACATCTCTGCTACCAAGACATCCTAGGATGCCCTGCCCTAGAAAGTCTTGCTCCTCCTCCAGTCATCAGTGACTCCTTGGCTATTCCGGACGAAGAGGGTGTGTTTCCCAGGGCACAGCTGAACTGGGAAAGTTCCCACCATTCTTAAAGTAAAAGAAAATCTTTCAGGTGGTGTTATTGCACATTGACTCAATGTGTTTGGTATTATGCGCAGTTCTGCAGGGTTCCAATTTCAAAACCTTGCCTTCGTCACCTACACAGATACAACAATTACAGCTCAATATAAATAACCTAGGAGCCAATGCAAAATTTATTTACAGAGAAATAAAAAAGTGTTCTAGTTCTTGGCAAACAAGAAGATACAAAAAAAGCAGAGGAGAAGAGGAGGTTAGTGTCACAGATGATAACGGAGGCAGCTGCACATGGAGCTTAAAATTCTATTAAGGGTAGTGCACAGATTTTTTTGATTTTTTTATATCCTCACTTAAAAACACAAACAAATAAACAAATAAACAAAACCCCACACCACTACTGAACAGCAGTTTAGGAAGCAGCAGTACAGGAAGGAAAGTAAGCAGAATACTGAATCCTTCCCTCTCCCCATCAAAAAGCAGACTGGGAGTTCAAACTCCTATTTCCTTCTCTAGTTTTAAGAAGATTTGATAGCTCTACTGCCTGTGTGGCAAAGCCACAGGCACGGGAGGTGTGGTCACTACCTGCCTCATTTCTATAAAGAGCTGTTCCTTCATACACAGATGACTTTGTTCTGTGGGGGTGTGTGAAGCCCTTAACAGTAATTTAGAAGTGGAGTTCCAACTAATTTCAGAAAAGCAAAGGATTAATAGATTATTCATTTAGCCTAGTTTCATGAACTATTTTAATTTTTTTTAAAAATTATTTCTACATTGAAATGACCAGCTTCTAAAGTAAGCACATTACCTTTTTGCTAAGCTCCCAAAAAGCATGAACTGTGGTTACCCATTTCTCTTTCACTGAGAATTAAAAGATATGCTTTCAAATTTTAAAAAATGTGTAGAAGTAGGCATTATACTCACTGAGATTTCTACCTCAAGATCTGGAGATAGGATGATTACTTGTTTACCTGGTTCTCTTTTCACTGTTTTTTTTTTTCAGGTAATTTTGAAGCCTATGTATTGTTGCTAGAAATCAGGAAAACTGTCAAAATTATAAGTGCAGTTCATGGAAAATCTTCAGGGTTCATTTGACTTGCTCTACTATTGGGAAAAGGTTTGGTTTAACAGTCTTCTTCTCCCAGGTTGGAACAATTCTGAAGGAAATTAAAAACCCAAGAAGTTAAGATGCAAGAGAATTTGGCTTCTTTTTTTTTTTTCTACTTGAATGAAAATGCTTTCCAGGGGAAAAACAAAAAAAAATATCTTTCCAGGAGAAAAAAATGCAGACCAGCAGAATCCACATTTTCCATTTCAATAGATTATTTTAAAGCAGTGGTTCCACTGACATGGTCAGTTGGTCAGAGTGGAGTACATATACAGCTAACACAGATCACACAGCAGTTCAGCAAAACTGAACAACTTTATTTCCTACTTAAGCCTAACAACAGTTTCATTAACCTACGACTGAACAATTAAGAGCAATACCATCTCCTTTACAGAACCTGATGCCAACTGTAATGCCTTTAAATATTTGTGGGACAAATCATACCAGTGAACACAGTTTTCCTTAAAGAGCAGATGAAATCTTACGGTTGTGCACTGTGACAGCATTTATTTGTGAGACTCTGTATCGCTTTCTCACTTTACGTCTCTCCAGCCTTCCCACTCCTGCTTCTCTCTGAAGGTAAAACTAGTCACACAATTTATAGGATGTATATTTGTAAGTATCTGAATTTATCATAATTTACAGACCTTAGGAATAACAATAAGGGTGTATTTCCTCCACTCCTATGGCTAAGCCAAGTGGAGCAACTGATTAAATGTTATTCCACTGATTACAGAACAGTATCGGTATCTCTCTCACTGATCAGACTTCTTTGCATTTATGTAATGTTCTTCCCATCTTTTAAAAATCTTAAATCTCCAAATGTTAGATTTTATTTATTCAACTGTTCTGAATACTAAACCACTGCAAAAATACTTTCTAGCAACCCTACTTGTTACTACAGAAATACCACTCCTACACTGTAGAACAAGAAATACTTTTTTTTTTTTAAAGCATATGTGTTTCCAGTTGTTGCGGGCTGACAACTGACAGACACACATTTACCTCAGAAAACGCAAAGGATAAAACTCTATTCAACAGGACAGGCACTGAAATCACTACGAAATACAGCACATGCTTTGACACACTTTTAGAATCAAGATGAAGAAAGAAAACGTTCCACTAGCCACATAATTTACTGTTTTATTTAAATCTGTGTCATGTAGATAATTTGAAAGAGAAATAGAGATTTTTTTTTTTTCAAATTGTTCTGAATTTGAGTGCGTCCTTTTATGGCTTCTTTTCAGTCCATGAAACAGCTTTTGGAAAACATGTCATGTCTTGTGAGACTGTTGTATTTTTGCTGTCATTTAATCATTATTGTCAAATGTACTGAAGAATCAGAAAAGACACAGAACACTGGAAAACTGACCTTAATGGGCTCTCTTCCAGCCTATACAATAGTCTATCCATTTACGTTTACCGTGGAAAAAAAAAGAGTGATGAAAATAAATATTGAACATGTTTGGTTTGAACATTATCTCTCCCTCTTTTAAACTATGAAGTATGTAGAAAGCTAGGGCAATGACTTCATCTTCCAAAATGTCAGAAATGGGTGCCAGCTCTTAAAACAGTCTTGCGTACGCATAGGCAGAAGGAAGATCAGAGGAATTGTATTTTGCAAAATGCTTGAAAATAGTAATGCTGAATCTGCCTTGAGGAACTCAAGTATAAATGCATCTATACTTACATACAGACACATGTTCTGAGCACTTCTAAATCTAAATTACTGAGGTTCATATTTTTGCCTTCATGCACACTGAATATGGGGGGGGTTTTAAATAGAATACATAGATTATTCAGAAAGCACAAATTACCCAGCACCACCACTTTATCACATTTTCATTTTTTTCCTGTTCAACAGATGTTGCACAAAACAATTTTTCCATTTTTCTGGATGCCCAATGCTAATATGAACATATGAATAATTTGCTTTGCCTTCAGCACTTGTCACAAGGCTATTATTTCTATGCTACTTAGAAATACTATTTCTATATAAATATGATTTCTACACTATAAAAATACTGTAATATCTAGTATTCTAAAGTAAGGATGTTGAAAGTGAAATATATGAATGATACACAGGTATTTTATTTGCAGTGACCACAGCAAAGAGCTTCACCTTACGTGAATGTCTTTTACAAAAATCCCTGAGGAGAGTGCAGACCTCAGAAGCATACACATGCTACCCATCTTCCTCTGCTCTCTCCATTTTGGTGACAAAAATGCACTACCTCATCCTCTTTTGACCCAGAAGGTGTCAGTTTTGTCTCTGACCCAAATACTAAACTGACATTTAATTTATTTTAAGTAATGAACACTGAGATTTATAGATTTCGCACACTCTGGGCTAAAACAGCAACCAAATGCTGTTCATGTGCTAACTCACAACTAAAGTTCCAGCACTACCCTTCTAAAAATCTTGGCCAGTTTCATAGCATGGAAAGATTATCTTTGGAATTCAAAAACTTGCGTGGCTACAAGATCACAGGCTTGTAATGTCTCTTCTAATACTGTGCCCCTACGCCACACTCTTATTTTGTCACTCTGCTTTTAGTAGCAACAGCAGAAACAAAGACAACGATCCTTAGCGAACTGTTACAGCTGAAAGAACAGTCACCCTAACAAGTACTTTACAAGAACAGTTTTATGCAGTATTACCACTTGCAGCTGTGCATTTTCAGACAATTCAGTTCATTACCATGGAGTCACTTAATACTTTTTTTCATTATTTTTCCCAGTAATCTCTCACATGCCTTAGTCAATTAAACTTGAAAGAACACAAAGCAAGTGGATTATACCCTGGACAGCACAGGGCTGTGCCTTCCTACCTTTTACTATAGGATCCTAACGATGACTAAGCACCACGCTCAGCATAGAAACAAATTTACCATTCATGCAAGTCCAGGGAGGGGGGGAAAGATTTGCATAGAACACCATGGAAAATAAAAACAACATGGTACTAAAAACAACTTGAAAACCCTCTGCTATCTCAAACTTCTACAGCATTACCAGCAACACTCTGTCATCTCTCTAGGATGTTCCATATTCGAAGCATCATCATCAGCTTCCGATCAGCCACTGAGACTCGCACAGAGCAGCTTCTCCTTTAAACCTACCCTAAAGTTTGCATTAAAAAACGAGACACCACATCCAGCTGATGCGTCTGATGGAATATTTGCATTTCATTTGTAGCAGAACTCTATTGGGGCAACGAAGCTGGTGAAGGGTCTGGAGAGCACAAGTCTTATGAGGAGCAGCTGAGGGCACTGGGTTTGTTGAGCCTTTAGTAAAGGAGGCTGAGGGGAGACCTTATTGC